TGCCCAGGGGCTGCTGGCGCTATGCGACTATGCATTCCAGTGGATCAGTGGTTGCCTCTGGCCCTTCAGGGGAGAGAGGGCAGGTTCACTCTGTCTCTGCCTCGACTCGAATGTTGGCTCTTCTAATTGTGGCGCCATGTGACAGAGCCGCCGTAAGTGGGTCAGAGTGTCAGGGCGGGCCTCTGACTGCTGCCGGGACTGCCCACGCAGCTGTTGCCGGGGAAGCCGCCAGGTGCGCAAAACTGGGCTCCACTCCCTTTCCTAAGCATCCCTGGAGGCTCAAGGTGGCAGAGACGTGCCAAGCACCAGAGCCAGGAGGGCGTGGCGTCCCCTGGAGGACCACCATTCCCAGGCGGCTCTCCCAGCCTTGAGTCCCACGTTTGAGGCCTCTCAGCCGTCCGTGTGCAAGGACACTGCTGGCCACACCTGAGAGCCTGGCTGACCTTTCCCAAGTCCAAGTTTTCAATGGTGGCTGTGAGCGGTGGCCCTGGTCTCCAGTCACACATCAGACACTCTGGGGGGAAGGGGGCATTCCATGGGCTTTGTGGCGGGGTCAGAGTACAGATGGGGAGGCCTGGAGTTGGCTGTGGCAACTGGACATTCCAAAAGCTTCATGTGAGTTTCTGATGTACAGTGGAGGTTAAGAAGCAGTGGCCCAGAGACAGAAGACAGACCTCCCACGTTTTAGATGAGAACATGCACTGATATCCATCCCCACGTGAGCACATCTCTTTAGATTCCAAGAGCTGGGGACATTGTGTGTGCTTCTGGTATTCTCAGAGACTCACTCTATTGCCACCCACTCTGTAGGTTAGAGTGCAGTGACATACTCACACCTACTGCAGCTTTGACCTCCTGGGCTCAGGTGAACCTTCTGCTTCAGTCTCCCAAGAGGCTGAGACTACAGGTGTGCGCTACCACAGCTGGCTCATTTTTATTTTTTAAATTTTTTGTAGAGACAAGGTCTCGCTATGTTTCCCAGGCTGGACTCGAACCCCTGGACTCAAGTGATTCCTCCTGCCTCTGCCTCCCAAAGTGCTGGGATAACAGGTGTGAGCCACCTCGCCTGGAAACATGGCCTTTTTATGATGCTGGTGGTGGAGGCAATGTGAGAAGAAACATAGACACCCTGTTGAGGTCTTCCTGTGTCTGGGACTTTTTAATTACGGCTCTGGTTGAGTCCTGGCTCTGCCTTTAAGTTGCGTCTGACATCTTAGCACCTGAAGATAACAAAGCTGAGGCTTTGTTTTCCCTTGAGGGCCTGTTCTTAATTTTATATTCAGGTTGTTTGTTAATTTCTTAAGGAGGATCCATTCAAAACCGTTTAAGTTTCAAGGCCCATGCAATGGAAACTGTCTCTCTGTGATCGTCACGAAAGGGAAATGAACTCTTTCAACTCACACCCTCACCCTTTCCTCTCCCTGTTCAGTCTCTGGTTCAGTTATGCTTTGGAAATTTTTGCAGCTCTTGAGTACCAACTGAATACCCAGCTGACTACTTGTCACAGTGCGCTGGAGGTCCCATCAAGCCTACAGCTCTGCACGTCTTCAACTGCATATCTGTCACTCCTGGATCTGCTCTTCTCTTAGAGACCACGCTCTGGTTGATCTGAGGCCCAGGAGTCTTTCTGTATCACCCTCTCCTCTCACCTCCTCCCCACCCTGCATACACATAGTTGGTCAACAACACTCCCCTTATCAACGCCTTGGTTTCCCTTCTCATCCCTGTTCCCTAGAGCCACACCAAGCCCTACTAGGTGTGGCCTGCCCTACTGGAATACTGTCTTGGCTTCCAAGGTTCGCTTGAAAGATGGCATTAATCTGGCAGGACAGCCAAAGGAAATGGCAGAAGCATGGTTGAGCGAACATCACTCTACATATTGATACTGTAATTTAATTCAACTTCTAAAAGCAATAGATAACGTCTTTTAAAATGTATACGCATTTTTTGGCACCCCCCCCATGTGTGTGCGTGTATGTGTATGTACTCATTTTTCTTGCTTTCATTTTGGTTTTGAGTCACAGTCATGGCTCACTGCAGCCTCAACCTCCTAGGCTCAGGTGATCCTTCCACCACATACTCCTAAGTAGCTGGGACTGCAGGTGTAGGCCACCACGGCTAATTTCTGGGGGGAGGTGGAGTGGGGAAGAGATGAGGTCTCGCTATGTTGTCCAGGCTGGTCTTGAACTTCTGGGCTCAAGCAATCCTCTAGCCTCAGCCTCCCAAAGTGCTGGGATTATAGGAATGAGCTCTTGTGCTCGGCCAGAAGGTACTTTTTTAACAATGAAAATCTGCTTCAAACAGTTCATGACTGTCCCTGCTTATCGAAGCCAATCCTCTTAGCAGAACCTTCAAGGCCTCCAGAAGCCGGCGCCGGGGGCCTCAGCCTCCTGGCCAGCTATCCTCCTCTCACACATGGTGCTGTGTGTCCCCTGCCTCTGTCATGCCACGCTGTCCTCTCACTGTCATGTCACGCATGTCGGCCTGTCTCCTACTCGCCTGCCCACGCTGTGTCTCCATCCGCAAACTCTCTGCATCCTTGAAGGCCCCACTCACTCTTTGCTTCCTCCGTGAAGACATGACTTCCTACATCCAGATGACTCCCTCCTTGAAGTCACCTCCGACTCTCCCACAGACGCCTACACCAGCTTAGACACTGGCTCAGTTATCCCACATCTCTCTCCCTGGCAGAATGGGCAGGCCTGGAGGATGGGATCTGCCTCTTATTTATCTCAGGGCCCTTATTTATTTTCAGACTCAGCACATAACAGGTATGCGGTAACCGTTATCTGGATGAATGAATGAATGAAAGATGGCTCTCATAACTCAGTCTTTGATCCTTCAATTAATAACAGGCTTAACGATTCCAACTTCTTCCTCAGAGGCCACAAAAAGCACAAGTTATTTTCAATAACACTCAGTTTGAGTTACAGCCAGAGCCTGGGGAAGCTATTTGACCTTCTAACATTTTAAATTCACCGACCTGGATTAAGTTCCACAAATTAATGTAAATTCTCTTATTTGATGGCTGTTATTTACACCCTTGGCTTCCACCTTTCTTATCTTGAGGTCTGCTTCAGAGTCTCACAATAATCATTACAATTTATTGGGACCTTGCTATGTGTCCTGCCCTGCATTGTGTATGTATCAAGTACTAGTCCATTACCCCTTCGATCTCATTAGACCCTCAAGGAGACAAATAGAGAAAGCTTACATATATTAATACATTGAACCGAACAAGTATGAATATGTGTTAGCACATCTTTCAAGAAAGCTCAGAGGGAAAGATTTGAGCCACCGGATTTTAATGGACCCTACAGTAGATTTCAAGGATTTTGTGAAAGGCTCTGAGTCTTCTTGGCCTTTGCAAGCAGGAAAAAAAAAGGCAGGCAAATTGAAAAGAGAAGAAAGTCAATGTCCAAAGAAGCAGAGAAGGAAGAGAGAAGGAGAGAGGAAAAGGTGCAGAACAACCAGGCATGGTGGCTCATGCTTATAATCCCAGCAATTTGGGAGGCTGAGGCGAGAGGATTTCCTGAGCCCAGCGGTGTGAGACCAGCTTGGGCACCTTGGCAAGACCTCATCTCTACAATAAATCAAAAAATTAGCCAGGCGTGGTGCTGTGTGCCTATAGTTCCAACTACTTGGAAGGCTGAGGCGGAAGGATGGCTGGAGCCTAGCAGGTCGAGGCTGAGGTGGCCGTGAGCGTGCCACTGCACTCCAGCCTGGGCGACAGAGTGAGACTCCGACTCAAAAAAAGGGGGTGCAGAAAATTAAAAAAGCCATGTGGGTAAAAGGCACAGGGAAAACGGTAAGAAGGAGACAGGGAGGGAGAGGTATAGACTCCGTGACTGAGAAAAACAAAGCAGGAAAAAGTAAGAACATGGGGTCCATTCATTTCTGGTTGCATAAAATGGAGACAGCCGAAAACATATGCCCCTAAGAGTCAGTTCCTCCTGAACTGTTCCCAGTGGATAACACCTCCATCATTTGCTCAGCATCTCTTCTTAGAATTTAACTGACTCGTCAACTGAGAAAATCCTTCCCAGCATAGGGCCATTTTTTTCCCTATCCATTTAATAAAAAAGTTGGCTAAGGAAAGACATTAACTGGATGGACTTTGATCACCTCAGATATGTCATGTGGGTTTCAGTCCTGTGCGTGGATAAGGCAGCTTGGAAAGCACTCTGGAATGACATAATGGCCTGATATCGCTTTCTCTCCGCTAAAGCAAGTGTGGTTTTGATAGGCTTTTAATATGTATCTTGGGGTTTGAACTGGATCCCATCGCTTTGTTATTCTCTGCCAGAGATCTGAATGACAGCCCTCGCCTCAAAGATACTTTTCCATTATAATTTTTCAATTTGTTCTGGTCTGAGAAATGTGTGTAAATGAAAGCAGAGAAAAATCCAGACGCCATGTCCCCTTCTAACATTCCGCTTGGGGTTTTAACAAGAACTCTGCAGATCCTTCTCTGTTTTCCTTTCTCTTCTGCAAATGAACTTATTTTCTGATCACTCCTATTGTGCCAGAAAATAATCATTGGATTTCCAGGAAGTCCTCTTTCTCTTTTGTATTTCTCATCTCTGTTTGACTTATAATCTCTTCTTTTAGCTCACCTCCCTCGCCTCCCAAGTCATCCCCAAAACCATTGGGGAACTCACATTGGCTTTAGAATTCAAGAGAGATGTTACCTTGTTTTCTCAAAGTACACAGCCCCTGAGAAAATTAAGAAACATGACAGTCCCTCAAAAGTCGTTTAGACCAGAGCCAGCCTTCCCACCTTAAGTAATTATATCAGCTTAGGTTTCCTTAGAAACAGGGAGAAAAAATATTTACCCAGGGAACCAAGACCAGATTACCACAGAGTAATTTGTATACACTGAAAATAGCAGGGGATTGGCGGATCCTTAGCTGCATGGTGTTAGCGTTTTTATTGACTTCCATGCCTGTTCTTTTCTCGATCTGACAGCCATGAAAGTCACACAGGAGACCACACTTACCTTCCTGGGCTTCACTTTATCGTGGTAGTCATACTGGAAGATTCCTTTGTAGCTTAATCCCAGCCACCATGGTATGCCCTGCTTGTCCTAGGACATCCAAAGAAATGTGGGTAAATAGGGAGTCAGAGGGGGTACACAACAGCCAAGAGGCGATTGCCTGGCTGGCTGGAGACGAGGGAAAATGCAATTTCCTTGGCATGGAGGAAGCCCCCCCCATCATCGAAGGATGCTGTTTTGTGAAGAGGGTGACACGGGTCGTGCCTGGAGCTGGGGCCTGGCTCTGTTCCCAACCAGCAGTACAGCCATCCTTCCTTTCCCTTTATCAATAAGAAGCAAATGTCCTGCTCTTTTTTTTTTCCTTCTAAGACTTTAGACTGTCCATGCCAGGATCCACACTCGCCACAAGGGACAATCTGAGAGATATAGGACCTTCTGGAAGCTGTCAGAGCCAGAAAGGCTGTGGAGACTATGGAAAGTGACTCCTCTCATTTTAAGGACAAATCACGGCCAAGATTCGGTCCAGCTTTACCCAGGGTGCACCCCAGCCCCGGTGAGCCAGTGGCAGTCCAGGCCGGAAGGTGTCACCCCCGAGGTTTTGCTTTCCCAAGAGGACAGCTGAGAGTCAGGAGTTTTAGGACTCATGCTGTCGGACAAGGCAGCAAAATCAGCAACATCAATGCCAGAAGAATCTCAGGACTGAGTCAGAAACACCAAGTCCCTGTTTATTCCTTTATCAGGGACCTCGTAAGTATAAATTACAACTCTACATTCGGATAGGAATGATTTGTTAATTACAACCCCCAGATGCTAGAGTTTTATTTTATAGTAGATGCTAGGATTTATATATATAGCAGCATTTCCCTAGATAGGACCTAATTGTCGAGTCTCTGAATGACCAAATACACCCCCATCGTGGGTGTCTTGAAAACTCAACATTGGCAAAATGGTTTTGAAATATTTGTAGGGCGTGAGTTATTTCAAGATGAGCACAAAGATAACAAACAAAATAGACAAATTTAAAAAAATTTTTAAAAACTTCAGGCTACAGCCGGGCTTGGTGGCTCAGCCTGTAATCCCGTGCTTTGGGAGGCCGAGGTGAGTGAATTGCCTGAGCCCGCGGGTTTGAGACCTGCCTGGGCAACTTGGTGAGACCTCCTCTCTACAATAAATCAAAAAATTAGCCGGGCGTGGTAGCCTGCGTCTGTAGTTCCAGCTACTTGGAAGGCTGAGGTGGAAGGATCGCTGGAGCCCAGCAGGTCGAGGTTGCGGTGGCCAGGAGCGGTCACTACACTCCAGTCTGCGTGACAGAGTGCGACTCCAACTCAAAACAAACAAACAAACAAACAAAGAAACAAACCCCCAAAAAACAAACAAAAGAAAACTTCAGGCTACATGATTTCCTTTAAAAGTTTTAAAGGTAGTATAAAATCCTTATCTTAAACCTCAGTCTCTGGGAAGTACCTGTGTGCACTACAATGATTTCAGAGAACAGAACAAGAGGAAGCCCAAGCCCACTGCAATGTGAGATTAATCAGGTAAGTGCTGTCATTAAAGCATAAAATAGGGCATCAGTGAGCTCACAAGCTGTGAGTTTGATACAGTTGGGTCAGGCCTGCTTGGACTCATGTGTTCTTTTTCCAAATAAGTGGCAGAGCAATTGCTTATGTTTTGAGATTCTAAACATCAAACACTCATGCACATTCGTTTGGCACTTTAAAAATCACAAGCCCTGCCTCTGGTCTTTACCAAACTGAAAAAAGAGCACATTTCCAAAATTAATGGAAGACCAAAAGCATATGCAAGGAGGAGTCTCCTGGCCAAAATAAACGGAATTATCTTCTGGAGGGCGGGCCACTTGTAGTGCAGGCTTCCCGCTAGGTAAGTGTTCTAGGAACCCATCGGCATCAGTGGACCAGTGAATGTTGCTGTGAGAGGCTGTGTTTGGCTTCAGTGAAATGTTTTTTGAGATTCTTTCCACGTGTTTGCCCATTTCATGATGGGTGATTTATGAGTGCGCCTGTCCACACCACGCTGAGTGTTCAGCAGTTTTTGACCAAAAACCTCATGACCCCATGTCCCACCCTCCTTATTCACCTGATCTCACCCTAAGGTATTTTTTTTGTTTCTCTGGATGAAAAAGGTCCTCAAAGGGAAATGTTTTGCTAATGTTGAAGAGGTGTACAAAAACGGCAGAAGCACTACAAAAGACATCCAAATGGACGAATTCAAAAACTGTCTTGAGCAGTGGAAAAAGTGTCTCGATAGGTCTATTGCATCAAAAGGAGAGTACTTTGGAGGCGACTGAAGTTTAAACATGTAAGAATAAATACACAATTTGTTATAAATTGCTTTTCTTTGTAGGGGGGTCATCCCCCTCGTACAGCCAACTACTCCAGTTAATTCTCAAGAAACAATTATTCAGCCCATATTTACCAGGCATCTACTACATGCCACACACCACACTGGGCTCTGGGAATATACAACAGAATATAGCACATAGTCTTTGCCATCAAAGCCTACAGTTTAGTGGACCACGTGGGCAACTAAACTCATGCTGATGGCATGCAGACTGTTGTATAAGCCACCACGGGGATACGTGAAAGAAATGTGGTGCATGCTGCTCTGGTCTAAAGGAGTTAAAAATATAGTTGAGGGGAAACAAGAGAAAAGACATTGGCAAAATAACAAGAGACTCTCAGGTTGACTGGTGAAACTCTTCTTGAGTTCAGAAGTGTTTTCTGCTCTTTCGGCTGGGCTTATGGCAATGACTTAGTTACGCTTTTCATGGAAGGGGAAATTAAGGAAGGAGAAGAAAGGAAACTTGACCTTCTCATGGGCTCGTGGGGGGGCATCTTTATTATTTCAAAGAAGAGATCCCAGTCTGGGATGTAATAAATACAATTAAGGAGAATATAGAATGGGGTCAGAGTCAACACGGGACACGCCATCCCAGTGTTTAAGAAGACAGATCCTGTAAATAGTCATGTACTCAACTGGCAGCCTATCATGACAGCTCTCCTCCTGTAAAGTGCCATTCGACCACCAAGAAAAAAAATCCTAGATTCTGCTGGAAGTTCTTGTTCTCTACGGTTCCCTATATTTCGACGTCTTCCTACTGAGATCCCTGCAGTCCTCAACTCCCAGGATTCTCTAAGGCCAAAATGAAGCCAGAATTTATTATTCTACTTCATAGAAAGAAACCTGATGCGTTTTGGAGAGTCACTGAATCAAGTCTCACTTGATGACTTTCTACACTGGGGTAAAATTCAGATGCCCAGTTTCCCCAAGCCTGCAATCTTTCTGACCAAGTCCTCCAACACTCAATATATATATATATATATATATTTGATAGAATTAGAAGAAAAAAAAGTGATGTTTTTGCTTGCTGGTTGGTTTTCTCAAGGCAGGATTGGCAACCTTTACCAAATGAAATTGCTTACCTTTACTGCATAATAGTGAACCCCGTAGGTTGGAAGAGACTCCACGATGCTCATATAGCTAGAAAGACAACACACACGCACACAAGGGTGGTTATTCGGCAGAACTGGTGTCAAGCACATCTCTGTGTGTGTGTACGTGTGATAAAGTTCTCACAGTGATTATTTACTTGAAAATTAAATTGAAACATACACTTCCCCCACCCCAGATACGTCTTCCTGAGGGCAACTGAACAATCCTGACATGTGATATATTAACACACACAATCACAATCCCCATGAGCGCTGGGAAGGGCCACTTACTTCACAATTGCTTGACCTCTGGTCTGGCCGTTCAGTTTCTTGTAGTGCTCAATCACTCTGTCTTCACTGGAATTAGAAGAAATGAATGCTGTTATCAGAGTCCCTAGGTCAACAACCAAGCATCCTGCTAGAAGAAGACGTCTGAGCCTGATTAATCTCATATGAAGCTCCAAAGAGCCAGCAGCTCCTGGAAAAAGGATTTGTCCTAACGTGACGTTTCCAAACTCAGCCTATGGGCCATCTCTTTGGCTATGGATGTACTAAAAAAAATGTCTGTTTTACCCCTCAGAGGACTGCATTCTCTTTATCTTGTTCTTCTAATCCTGAAATAAGATGAGAGCTCAGGCCAGGCTCAGTGGCTCAGCCTGTAATCCCAGCACTTTGGGAGCCTGAGGCGAGAGGATTGTCTAAGCCCAGGGGTTCGAGATCCACCCGGGCAACTTAGCTAGACCTCATTGCTACAATAAATAAAAAATTAGCTGGGCATGGTAGCTCACGCCTGTAGTTCCGGCAGAAGGATCGCTAGAGCTCATCAGGTCGAGGCTGCAATGGCCGGGAGCGTGCCACTGTACTTCAGTCTGGGTGACAGAGTGAGACTCCAACTCAAAAAAAAAAAAAAAAAAAGATGAGAGCCCAGGTTTTAGGGTCAGTTCCTTGCCAGAAATGATATCATGGGAGAAGAGAAAGAAGCAATCAGTAGAGATCAACGCCCTGGGTCCTTCTCATTCTCCTCATCTCCTGAATCCCGTCTACACATGGTCTCACGAGGGGAGGGCAGGCGTTGACCTTAACCGAGTGGCCACAGCATACCTGCTCTGAATGAGTCGTCAGGGGTGGAGCACTTCCAAGGAGAATGGAAAGTTCTGGAATCTGGGCCTGGTTCATATAAACCACAAGGCAACGAAAGCTCCACAAGAACACTGGGGAACAACAGGAATCAGTTCCCAGAATTGAACGAGAACTCCTTCACCTTCTGGAATCTCAGTTCCAACAAGAGGTGAGTGGGTTCCTTGGCCACAATGATAAGTCGAGCCTTTCTTTGAAAGTGTGGAGGGCAGCCCGGCCCACTCTGAGAAGGGACTCTGGCACTCATGAAGTAGGGGCTATGGCTGCTCCCACCGCTGCCTTTGGAACTGCAGAGCCAACCTTGGGAATCCCAAAGAAGCAGACATGGGCAGAATGACTCCAGTTCACCTGCTGAGGCACCAAGTTCAGATGCCTTGGTCCCCCTGGCCTGGCCACACGGCCGTGAAACCGCAGTTCTCACTCTTCTGCCTCACTCCTTCTTACCACAGGCAAAGGACCCCTTCCTGTTCCTGTCCCCCTTCCCTGTGAGGGGAGGTGGCCCAAGGGGTGTCCCCTCAGTATCTCATAAGTGGATCTTTATCAGATCTTATTCACGTATTATCCTAGGCTCGCTCTAAAGTCTATTTCCCAGCTTTTTCTTTCTTTCTCTTTTTTTTTTGAGTTGGAGTCTCACTCTGTCACCCAGACTGGAGGGCAGTGGCACACTCCCAGCCACCGCAGCCTGGCCCTGCTGGGCTCCGGTGATCCTACGGCCTCAGCCTTCCGAGTAGCCGGAACTACAGGTACGCGTTACCATGCCCAGCTAATTTTTGATTTATTGTAGAGATGAAGTCACGCCAAGTTGCCCAGGTGGGTCTTGAACCCACGGGCTCAGGCAATCCACTTGCCTCAGCCTCCCAAAGCGCTGGGATTACAGGCTGAGCCACCGAGCCCAGCCTCACCCAACTTTTTCTGTTCTTATTTTTAGCGAGGCCAGCTTTAGGGGTAACGTGTTCTGTGTTTTCATTGCCTAGTCCTTGGGGGCAATTTATCTATCTTTTTTTTTTTTAGTCGGAGTTCACTCTGTTGCCCAGGCTGGAGTGCAGTGGCACACGCATGGCCACCCCGGCGTCGACCTACTGGGCTCCGGTGATCCTTCTACCTCAGCCTTCTAAGTTGCCAGAACTACAGGCACACGATACCACGCCCAGCTAATTTTTTTTTTTTTTAATTGTAGAGATGAGGTCTCACCAAGTTGCCTAGGCTGATCTCGAACCTGCAGGCTCAGGCAATCCACTTGCCTTGGCCTCCCAAAGTGCTGGGATTACAGGCTGAGCCAATGAACCCAGCCTATCAATTACTCTCTTAATCCTCAGTATCTTTTTAGTATTCTGAACTTTGGTGCATGTAGGACAGTCAGAGGTCTGCACAAGGAAGTGTCTTTGTAAATACAAAGGGAATTTGGGAAGGGGAAATGGCTGGCTATGGGGGGGCCTTCTCCACCTGAGAGTCATTTCTGAGGGGTCTGGGCACCCTCTATTAGAAAGGGGCATATCCAGCCAGCTCTCTCCTCAGTTCCCACACACTGGGAAGGTCTCCCAGTGTGACAATGTCCTCCCCTGACACAATTCCTGAGGAGCGTCTGTCCATTCCAGGAGGAGGCCCAGCCTCACCAGACATTCAGAGGTGTGTCAGGAGACTCAGGTGAGGCTTCTAGCTCTCTTTCCACGCACTCACTACATCTTCAGGGCTCTGGCACATTTCCTACCGCATGACCTGGGGTTTTGTGAGGTCGACTCTGAGGCCTGGGGTCAAGCAACTCAGTGCAGATACGAGGCCATCTCCTCTGCAGCTCTGGGAAGAAGGGTCCCCAGGGTGAGGGAGGGGAGGCAAGCCAACTAAGTGCTGTAGCTATGAATAGGCACAAGACTCAGAAAAAAAAAGTCAGCGAAAAAGTCAAAGCCACCGTCAGAAAGTCGCTTTGCTGTTTACCAATGACATGGCCTGACCATGGGGTCCCTTGGTGCTGGACAGCTGCAGAAATCTTTGTCACCCTCTACCCCGGCCTGTGTCTCCTACTGTCTGAGACCATCTATGAAACCACAATGGTGATTTTCTCTGCCCTCAGCTTTTCTTGGGGTTCTTGCTTCTCCTTTAACATGGTGGGCCTGTCATGTGATGTGTTTCACACCACAAGCCAACCGAGAATCCGTTCTGCTCCCTGCCCTCCTCTGAAGTTTACAGAGGGCTGAGGTGTTCTGAGCATTGCAGACAGCTTCCCCAATGGAATAATGATCAGAAACCCACGAGGCAGCCAGGCGGATGACTTACCCATGTAATCCCAGCACTTTGGGAGTTGGAGACAGAGGATTGCCCAAGCCCAGGGGTTTGAGACCAGCCCAGGCAACTTGGCGAGACCTCGCACACCTGGAGTTCCAACTGCTTAGAAGCCTGAGGTGGAAGAATTGCCTGAGCCCAGAAGGTCAAGGCTGCAGTAGCCATGACGGTACAACTGCACTCCAGCTTGGGCGATAGAGTGAGACCCTGACTCAAAAAACAAACACAAAAAAACCCCACAAGCGGGAATAAACCGAATTCTAAAGCATTGTCTGGGAGACACAGTGGTACCTCAAGGTTAAAAGCAAGAGACCAACCCTGCCTGTGCCCCTGCCATGGCTGGGCAGTGTCGTTAAGTTGAATCACCTCTCTGCAGACAAGGGGGCATGGGAAACACGTGGGTGCTCGGAGGGAAAACAGAGTGATGGGGATAATGGTCTCTTGCCTTGGAGGAGCTGTCGGCTTCCATTGCTCAGTGATTTTGGGGTCAAGGAAGATGTCCCCACATACACTCGAGAGGTGATGGGGTGGCTGGGTGATCTAGCATTCATAAGCCAGGCTGGGGAGGGAGAATCTAGGCCAGGCCTCTGATCCCTCCTTGCTCCATGGCCCTGGGCACAGCATCCTAACTTGATAGGGAAATCCCACGGGGAAGGAGTCTGGGCTTGCTAAAAGCGGGGGGAAATGAACAGCAAGGAGGATTGCACCATAAACCCGCGCTATCTTGCCGCTTCCCCTGCTTCCCAATGACATTATGACACTTTTCATTCCCTCTCCTCATCGTAGCTTGAAGTCGACTGGTGTGGTTCAGCCCATCTTGTGGATAAAGAAAGTGAGGCAGCCAAGAAGTAACAGAAGCTGCCCGGACCGTCATGACCTCACAATGCAGACACCTGGCTGGGACCCTAAGCCTGCTGCGGCCTTGCTCACGAGGCGGGGGTGCCTTCCCCAGTCAGCGTGGATGGGCTCGTGGCTCATCTCAGCCTGAAGGCAGCCCAGGGCATGCATGAACGCCAGCAGGGAGCAGGAGCGCTCCGAAGCATGGTGAATTGGCCTCTGTAGATCAGGGATGCTCAGGGGAACTTGAGACTGTGGGCAACGTGATGAGGTCTGGGATGGAGAGCGGGACAGAGTCTCCCCACCAAGGAGGGGCTGTGGTTAAGCTTGCTGAGTGGGGACACTGAGGCAGAGTGGGGACACTGAGGCAGAGAGGGAAAGACTGCCACCAAGCTCGGTCCTCTGTCTCCACCTTTCTACATCGTATGAAACATGAATGTTCCTCTCTTTTTTTTTTTTTTGAGTTGGAGTCTTACTCAGTCTCCCAGCCTGGAGTGCAGTGGCCACTCCCAGCCACCGTAGCCTCGACCTGCTGGGATCTGGTGATTCTTTTGCCTTCTGCCTCAGCCTTCCAAGTAGCTGGAACTACAGGTGTGCGCTACCACGCCTGGCTAATTTTTTTGATTTATTGTAGAGATGAGGTGTCACCAAGTTGTCCAGGCGGGTCTCGAACCCGCGGGCTTAGGCAATCCACTCACCTCGGCCTCCCAAAGCGCGGGATTACAGGCTGAGCCACCGAGCCCGGCTCCTCTCTGCTTTTTAAAGACCCATATATAAGGGGATCAAAAATACCATTACACAAAAGGACTATGCTAGAACATTCCATGGTACAGTCGGAAAATTTTAGTTAATGGTAACTATTGTATATGTCAAAATAGCTAGAAGAGGAGATTTCTAATGTTCCCCACACAAGGAGAAAGTAGATGTTTGAGATGATGGATACCCAATTACCCTGAGTTGATCACTGCACATTATTTATGGGTATCAGAATATTGCATATACACCAAAAATATGAACTACTCTGCATCTATTAAAAAAAAAAATTCACGTAAGTAGGCTGAAATAGCAGAGCCAACCCCAATGGAATGAGCTGAATCAGTCTTTATTTTTTTTTAACTTTTTTTAAGTAGTGCATCAAGGTGTTCCCTGCTACTAACCCATTTATGCACGAGCTGAGCTGTGAAGAAGAGACTCCCGGCTCCCCATTGTGCCACCCTCTCAGGGCATCCAGGCAGTGACCTCTGTGTTTATGGGTCCAAATGAGGGTGATGAAAAGTACTGGCCTGGTCTCAAAAACAGGGGATGTTTCAGCAAGCCAGCTACAGGTGAAGATGCTCATGTTGACAAGAGACAGAAAGTGTGTACATGCAGTGGGGGGTGCTTCTGTATTGCTAGTAAGTATGAGCACAGAGGAAATGGTGAAGACAGTGAAAGAAAAATCCAGAGGCAGAGAAGAGAAGGCGGTCAAAAGTCTGGGCCGGGTGGTGTGGCTCAAACCTGTAATCCCAGCATTTTGAAAGGCTGAGGCAAGGGGATCGCTTGAGGCCTGAAGTTTGAAAACAGTCTGGGCAACCTAGGGAGACCCCACCCCTGCAAAAAATAAAAAATTAAGCGGGTGTGGTTGCCCACGCTTGTAGTCCCAGTTACTCAGGAGGCTGAGGAGGGAGGACAGCTTGAGCCCAAGAGTTCGAGGCTGCAGTGAGCTATGATCACCCCATGGCACTCCAGAACAAGACCCTGTCTCCAAAACAAACAACAACAGAATGAGACCCTGTCTCCAAAACAAACAACAACAACAAAACTCCCCAAACTCTGGAATGAGCACAGGGTTGTTACAGTGTTTGGAAATGAATGAACGACGGGATGTGGCCGGGAACCCCACCAACATTAGAGTCCTCGGTGGCAAACAGTCCCCTCCCTGCAGGCCGCTGGTCTTTCGAGTCACCTTCCTGTGTCCCCTCTCGCCTTTACCATGAGTTTCCCAGAGACGAGCAGCTGGGAGGACACAGAATGGCTGGGGAGCATGAGGGATGACAGGAGATGGGAATGGCATCATTTGGGGTTCGTATGTGCAGACCACAAGGCCCGAAGTTTGGAAGTGGATGCCGGAATCTCCATCTATGCTCCCGAGGGAAGATGGGTAACAACGCAGTTCAGTGAGATGAGACTAGGGACACCAGACAGTGTGGGGAGCGCCTCCGCCCTCAAGTTCCGCTGGCCCAGGACTGCGGCCTCTCGGAGAGAAGGCATTTTAGAGACAAAGTTTAATCCTGCGAATGAACTCTGCATCAAGACACGCCCTGTAAAGCCACCTGAGTGACTGCATGGCTAGTTTCCTGTCTGGAAACGCGTCCAACAAAATGAAATGCTAGTCATCTGTATATTTCAGAAATGGTATACGCTGGCACTTACGCCAGTCACACGATGTGATCTCCCAGGATCAGCTTGCTCTGGTTTTTTTTTTGGGATAAAAGCAGTTTCCCTATTTTTTTTGTTAAGGAGTCAGGAGGAACATAAGAGAGGCAGGAGTGTCCCTGTCAAGGGCAGCGGTCGGGGCTGGGGAGCCCAGCAGATTTCAACACACTGCCCAGGAATGCGAGCCATGCTCAGTTGTGGCCCAGACCGCAATCTGGGAACCTTTCAAATGTTCAAATCATTCAGAATCAGTCATGTAGGGCCCGGCAGACGAACTGTGGCGTCATGTTACACGGGAGTGAAATCAGGAGACACGAAACACTAGGGACAAAGAAAAGATCCAGTATCTTCTGGAAAACAAAAAACAAAAACCAAAAAAAACCCCATGGCTCTCCCAGATCTCAAAACCTCACACATCCTGTCATCAAAGGACAGGGTTCCAAGATGAAACTCCAGCAGCACATGAAAGGCTCTCGAAGCAGGCAAAGCTTCCCAAGTGAAATTCTAGAAGGCTTTTTTTTTTCTTTAAATACAAGAAACAGAAAGGGAGAGGTCTCATACGCAGCACATCATTGAAATACATGCAGAAAACGGTTTCATGGACACACAAGATACTTGATTCAGCTGAAAGTCTAGGCTGATGCTTGGGTCCTGGTGGAGGGAGGGTACACTTGATGATCCTGAGCCCCCAGGAGGGGCTTGCTCCTGGGGAAGACCCTGGGGGCTCTTACCAGTAGGTCAGAGAAGGATGCCCCTTCGGGGAGTGAGTGGGAAGGGCTGAGACCCTAAGGGTCTTCCCAGTAGGCCAGGGAAGGGTGCTCCCTCAGGGCTTGGGTGGGAAGGGCCGAGATTCCCAGGGTGCTACCAGCAATCAAGGAAGGGTGCTCCTTCTGGGATTAGGTTGGAAGGGTTGAGACCCCGGGGGTCTTCCCAGTAGGCTGGGGGATTGGAAGGGCTAAGACCCCCAGGGTGATACCACAAGCGAGAGAAGGGTGCTCCTTCAGGGCTTGGGTGGGAAGGGCCGAGGCCCCCAGTGTCTTCCCAGGAAGCCAGGGAAGGGTGCTCCTTCAGGGCTTGGGTGGGAAGGACTGAGACCCCTCCAAGGTCTTACCAGTAGGCCAGGGAAGGGTGCTCCTTCAGGGCTTGGGTGGGAAGGGCTGAGACCCCTCCAAGGTCTTCCCAGTAGGCCAGGGAAGGGTGCTCCTTCAGGGCTTGGGTGGGAAGGACTGAGACCCTAAGGGTCTTCCCAGTAGGCCAGGGAAGGGTGCTCCTTCAGGGTTTGAGTAGGAAGCACTGAGACCCCTCCAAGGTCTTACCAGTAGGCCAGGGAAGGGTGCTCCTTCAGGGCTTGGGTGGGAAGGGCCGGCAGCTTCTTCAAGTCGCTCCTCACAGCCTCATTGCTGAAAGAGAGAAGCCCAGAAATGTACTCACCCACTGAGCAAATGGCCACACTATCTGTTGCTCGCTGCCTTGTCTGAGAGACCCGACACATGCTCCCTGATTTAATGAAAAGTGGCTGGAGAACAGGGTGATCTCTTTTTATTTCTTTACTCAACAGATGACTAGGATGTACAATGCACCTAGCCAAGCAGCTTTCTCTCGCGGTACAGAGAGCAGGGCGGACTCTCAAAGGCGGCCCGGGTCCCTCTCCAAGCCCTGTTCTCCCAGAGGCGCACAGACGGAGTGCCCTGAGTCACAGGGCCCCTAGGGTCCCCCTGGGGGAGGATCCTGGGAGAAGCTCCCCAGTGACCCGCTGTCAGGCCCCCAGGGCTCCTGGATAAGTGACACCACTGTTTTCTCCTGGAGGGCTGTTTGCTCCACTCCTGGACTATGCCGAGTTTCTTTGCTAAGGTTGAACACACACTGGAAACTCTTTTCTGAAATGTGGTGGATAAATAAATACAGGTTGGGTCTCCTTTATCTGAAATGTTTGGGAGCAGAAAGGTTTCAGATTACGAATTCTTTTTCTGCATTTTGGAATAAGTGTGTTGTACACCTACCAGTTGGGCATCCCGAAATCTGAAAATCTGAAATTCAAAGAGCTTCAATGTGCATTTCCTGTGAGTGTCACACTCAAAAAGTTTCGGATTTCAGATGTTCAGATTAGAGAGTTTCAACCACTTCTGATTACTTAGAAAGCGTGAAATGGATTGTCTGGTACAGGCTGAGTATCCCATATTTGAAAATATGAAATCCACAAGTATATAATGCAAATATTCCAAGTCTCCCCTAAAGTCCCCCAACAAACCCCACAGTCCAAAACACTTCTGCTCCCAAGTTTGTTTTGTTTTTTAATTTTTTTTTTTTTTTTTTACAAAGTCTCACTCTGTTTCCTAGGTTGGAGTGCAATGGAACGATTACAGCTTACAGCAGCCTGGACCTCCTGGGCTCAAGCAATCCTTCCACCTCAGCCTCCCCAGAAGCTGGGATTATAGGTGCTTGTCTCCATACCTGGTTATATATTTATTTATTTTTAATTTGTAAAGAGGGCTCAGTATGTTGCCCAGGCTGGTCTCAAAATCCTGGGTTCAAGTAATTCTCCCGCCTTGGCCTCCCAAAGTGCTGGGATGACAGGCATAAGCCACAGGGCCAACCTTCCCAAGCATTTTGGACAGGAATGACTCACCCTCTACCCTTAGGCGGTTTTACACATCTGGTCCTGGGACCTGTGATTCCTTTTCGGTAGACTCAGGAGTGCTCAAGTTTGGAAGCCGCTTTAAACTCCCCAAATCCAACCAGCCTTTTTCAGATGCTTGATGCCTCTCTCCACACTCAGTTAGGCCCGCACGCCCCGCCCGGGGCCGGGCCATCTGCGAACTCCGCACCCACTCACGACCCGCAGAGCAATGAATCCACTTCGGGATGGTTCTAGTATTCAAAGAGCATGTTCCCACACAGGTCCACGCAAGAAACTCTGCAGGAGGTCGGCGGGAGTTGCAAGGGTCTCTCTGGCGGGGCCCTGCCTTCCATTCCCAGTTCCGACCTAGCCTCTGCCAGCAGCTTCTGGGTTGCTCATACAAAACGAGGCAAACACTGGCCACCAGGATGCTGGGTTGTGCCATGCAAAAAGCAAGGAGACAAGACTGCAATCAATCAAGACAAAGGAAGGGAGGAAGAATGCTTCC